TAAGTTTTTAAGGGGAAGTGACGAAGATGATTGGTTAAGTATAGGGCAGTGGATGTTGTCATCATGGACTTTACTAAAACATTTGACAAGGTCCCTCATAGTAAGTTAGTCCAGAGGATTGACACATGGCATCAACAGTTAGTTGGTAAGCTGGAGACAAAATTGGACACACACACAAGATGTGTGTGGTGGGATGTTTCTCTGACTAGAGGTCTGTGACCAGTGGTATTCCACAAGGATCGGTGCTGGGACCGCAGACGACACAAAAATTTGTTGAGTTGTGGACAGTGCGGAAGGTTGTTAAAGGATACAGCAGGATGTAGATCAGATGGAAAGTTGGGTGGAGGAATGGCAGATGGAGTTTAATCTGGACAAGTGTGAGGTGATGCATTTTGGGAGGTCAAATGCAACAGGAAATTATACAGTAAATGGCAGAATCCTTAGGAGCATTGATATACAGAGAAATCTTGGGGTGCAAGTCCATAGCTCCTTAAAAGTGGCAACACAAGTGGATAAGATAGTAAATAAGAAATCTGGTATGCTTGGCTTCTTCAATCAGGGTAGCGAATATATAAGTTGGTAAGTCTTGTTGAAGCTGTATAAGACTTTAGTTAGGCCCCATTTTGAGTACTGTATGCTGTTGTGGTCACCAAACTATAGGAAGGATATGGAGGCTTTGGAGAGGGTACCAAAGAGATGCTGCCTGGATTGCAGTGTATCAGCTATAAGTAATGGTTGGACAAACTTGGACTGGCGAAAGCTGAGGGGCGACGTGACAGAAGTGTATAAAATTATGAGAGGCATGGATAGGGTGGATAGTCAAAGTCTCTTTCCCAAAGTGGAAATGTCAAATACCAGGTGTATAGGTTTAAGCTGAGAGGGGAAACATTTAAAGGAGGTTTGCGCGGAAAGTTTTCTTTTAAACACAGAGTCTGGTAGATGCCTGGAACACACTGGCAGGGAATGTGGTAGAAGCAGGTATGTTAGCAAAGTTTAATACGATTTAGACAAATGGTTGGCCCAGACATGGTGGGCCGAATGGCTTGTTCTGTTCTATGTTCTCATTCCTTTTCCTGTGAAACTTTTTACACTCATCATTGTAATCTCGAGTAATGGCAGTACTAACTTTATCATGCATCTCTGAATATTAGTTTAGTTTACAACTGTATTTTTCCGCAGGATGTTTTAACTTTGGATCAAGCCATTGGGTGGAAGCCTTGTGGTGTAGTGGGCAGGTCACTACCTTTGAGCCAGAACTTTTGGGTTTGAGTCCCATTCTGGGACTCGATGGCGAAAGATGGTATGTTCAAAGTGCAGCCAAACAGGTTGATCATCAACCTGCAAATCCTTTCACACATCTATAGCAGGCGAGGGACTCATGGTCAGTCATCCTTGATGAGGAGTGGCATCCCAAAGCTACAGCCTCGAGTGTCAGGTTGATAACCCAAAATAACTATGGAAACAGACGTAAGCACGTACTTCATCCGCTTCATGTGTCTCTAGATGCAGCAAGCCACCCAAGTCTATAGACAAAAGAAGGGCACTAGCATTTATAGCTTTGCAAATAGGAGCAGCGAGTACAGCAGTGAGAAACTAATGATATTTAAACAAAGGATTGGTCAGATCACAATGAGAGTAAGTTGTGCAGATTTGGGAATCACAATACAGAAAGAACAATGAAACCTCACAGACACTGTCCAGAGCAGATTCACTGGCGTGATATAGTTAGGAGCGAAATTTTGAAAAATGGGTATCTGTGGATTTTTAAATCAACCTGTTCAGACAGGATATGGAGCATGTGGGACTTGGGTTCAAGTCTTTTGGCTCAGAGGTAGGGACACTACTGCTATGCTACAAGAGCCCTATGTAGAATTCTTTACCACAGAGGGCTGTCATTAAGTATATTCAGATCTACGAGAGCCTGATTTCTGATCAGTTAGGGGGATAAAGGGTTCTGGGGATAAAGCAGGAAAGTTGACTTGAGGATTATCAGTCACCCATGATCTCATTAAATGATGGATCAGACTCAATGGGGCTTAATGGCCTACTTCTGCTTCTACATCTTAAGATCATTTGGGATTATTTACACTGGAGCCAAGAGGCTAGGAAGAGATTTAATGGGGGCTATGAAAACTATGAATGTTTTTAGTATAAACTATTTCTTGTGGTTGGGAAGTTGGCAACGAAGGTGTCATTAATTTGATATTGACACTGTGAGTAAGTACAGAGAAACTTTTTTAATGATTGGAATGCATTGCCAAAGGAATGGTTGAAGCATAAATTATCGTATCTTCCATGGGAAAGAGTTAAAGAAGACAATGATTCAGTGGGTTGGAATGTCAGGAGGGTCATGGGATTTGATGTTGTATATAGCTTAAATAATGGCCTAGCACGTACAAATTGGACTGAATACACTCCACGATCTCAACATCCCCAGCCCTGTAATCCTCCAATTTGGGTCTCCATTATACCCCGATTTTAATTGTTTCACCATTGACAGCAATGTCTTCATTTTGTTTCACTGAAATTTCTGTATTAAATCTCTTCACCTCTACATTTCTCTCCTTTTAAGACCTGCCTTTTCAACAGAGCTTATGACCACCTGTCCTGATACCTCTTTGTAGCCGGGTGTTAAATTTTGCTTGATAAGACTCTGTGAAGAACTTAGACGTGTTTTATCACGAAACCATAGATAAACATGAGTTGTTGATTTGTAGAAATGTTGCTTGCCATTTAATATTGGCTGCTGGCAAATGTATATATTTGCTTCATTATCTGGTTGACTTTACACCAATGAAGTAAATATTTACCAGCATTTCGAAGAGATAGTCATGAAGAATACTTTATAAATGTAAATCCTTCTTCCTTTACTTTCTCTATTTTGCATTTAACATCTTTCTTTTTTATAACCGTGTTCTCTTTGTTTATTAGTGGCCCCTCTTCATTTCAGTTTTACTTGCTTCCAAACATCTTCACTTATCCATGATATCCTGATGTTAATAATCATTACTTTTTTTTAGAAAATTGAAATTCTGTACTGTGCAATCTCTACAATTCTACACCAATTTCTCTTGATCTCATTCTCAGCTTGGTCATTCATCTTTCTAAAATCAATCCTAACCCAATAAGCCTTTCTAGTTTTCCTACTAGATTTATCAATCCTAGCTGGGTCTTAAATCTTAAGATATTGTGGTTATCTTAACTTCAATCCCAGAGGTACTTACTCTCAAATTCCTCACCTACCTGATCTATGTCATTGCTCGTAACCAGGTTAAATAACACCCCACTCTTGAAGACTTTGGAACATAATGCACTTGGAAGGAATCCTGTAATGTTTAGGAATTCCATTCGTCTTTCTCCATGTTCTCCCTCCGGTCTCAATTGATAAGGAAAATCTTTTCAGCACATTTTGTTTAGTAATTTTTATTCAACTCTCTCTTTTCTTTTCCATTCCTTTTTCTCATTTGGAAGCCTCCTCATGGAATTTTATTGTTGTGGTCACTCTCAGCTCACACTTCAATTTTATGTATTTTATTTTGCCAATTTGATTTTATTTCTCTACATCAAATACATGTTTTTCTGAATGCATATCATCCTAATATAAACCTCTCCATCATTGAATGGTTCTGGTTGATCTTAGTTTCCCAGCTTCTTGTCTTGTACTGATCAGGACAAAGGCAACAGCATCAAATTCTAAATAATCATATGTTACGATTACTTGAAATTTGGTGTTCTTGCATTTGTCCTGATGAGTGCAAGATAAAAAGCTTCAACAGTATGAGTCACTTCTCAGCAAGATTCAAGTTCCGTGCTACCAAGCAACTGTTTCCTAGCTCCGTTATTCATAATTGAAATATTTAATTTTAACCTTTTTGACAGTACATTGGAAATCTCCATGTTCGGATATAGCACATTTTTATGGAATAAATTGTACTTGTCCCTGAACAGATCCCTCCAAATTGGAATCTTTCTTTCTGGCCCCACTCCTTTAGCCAGATGTTGAGTTCCGTACTCAACATGCCATTTGCATGACATGGCCAAGAAAGTAATCTTGAGACTGTTATCTCAAGGAAAGAAACATGTTAATTTGATGTATATCCGTGCAGCTCTACCTCTAAACTGATTTTTTTAAATCTTCTAGATTAATTTTGTGGAGTGTCAGTACTGGACACTTGATTTAGACCATCATTCTGACCTTCAAAAGGATGTATCGACACGCCATCTCTTGTTGGTGCTTCCGAGGGCTTGGGGGAAGGTCCAGCAAATAAAAAGGACAATGAGGGATGGTTTTTAACCTAAATGTGGACATCTAGTGAACAAAAAAAATTATAATATCCACAAAGAAACTAAAAACTAGAAATCCATTTGTGAATTGTTCTAACATTTCATTATTGCCTTTTCCCACTTCTTTGTCAGTCACCTACTAGTCCTTCTGTGTGTTCCCTATCTTTCATTCGTGTGTGACTACCCTCTCAAACTCTCACTGCAGAAGCTGCTATCCCTCCCTGGTCAAAGTGACTCCTTCTACTTCTCAATTTCTGAGAAAATCAGCTAGAGTAATGTAATGTAGTTGGGAGGGTTTTTTCGAGTACGATGCTCTGAACTCCTAAGCCTTGAAGGAATGATTTATTGCTGTCCCTTCCTGTGTTGCTGTCGGAGCCTTTATATTCACCCAAGAGGACTGAGTGTTTGACACTGCATTCAAAAGATTGCACTTTTCATCTTGGAGCTCTCCTACAGTACTGCACCAAAATGTCAGTCTAGATTATGTGGTTAAGTAAAGCTACAAAAAATTGAGAGAAACATTGTTACTGATAACTGATGAGTATTTTCTTAATTTTCTATCTTAGTTCAGATTTACAGGATCTCCTGTGTTTTATTTTTGTACTACACAGTCAAGTCACCAGAGAGAGATTTCAACTGACAACCTTTTGGCTCAGTAATGAGAGCGGAGAGCTTACAAAAGTTTCTACTAAAATTGTTACAATGTCTCTTTGCAGCACATCACCTTATTCTACTCACTGCCTGCAACGAAGCCTATTACTCCTATATTATCCAACATATTTGCTTGGAGGCCTTCAGATTTCAAATGACTGATATTGGACAGACGCTCTGGTGTGACTGGGAAGCTACATTAAGGTACTTTGGGAATTCTTCATGAAAGTTGGTGCTGTGATAAAAAAAATAGAATTAAACCCTTTTTCACTTACACTGTCTTCATTATGTGGTGTTTATCAAATCTTCCCAGGCTTGCTGTTTGAGCAGTGAAGCTGAAGGGATCTGCACTGTCTTTTTGTATATTGACCTGTACAGGATAAGTAGCCTTCAACTTTCATTCTTGGTCTGTGCTGAGTTAATCAGTGCAACATTATACATGCCTCAGATCCCTACAGTAGGAAAGGAAAAGAAAAATTAGGTTTCTGATTGCATGATTGTTCATGTTAGAAAGCATGTGTAACACATCTGTGCGCTTGTGCATGCATGTCTATATGTGCTTTTTGATTATTCCCTCAAGGTATGTATTTTTCACTGGCAAAACCAGTTTTTATCTGTCCACTCCTAATTGTCTTTGAACTGAGTGGCTTGCAACGTCACCTCAGGGGATAATAAATGTCAATCACTTTGCTGCAGGCCGGAGTTACGTGTAGGTCAGACAGAGTATGATGGCAGATACCCTGCCCAAAAACCACGAGGTTCCTATGACAATCAATCACGGTTTCATGGTCACCATTGCTGAAACCAGCTTTATTTTTGCATATGTGTTTTTAAAACTGATTCATGAGAGGTAGGCATCGCTGGCTGGGCCAGTATTTACTGCCTATCCCTAACTGCCCTTGAGAAGGTGGAGGTGAGCCACCTTCTTGAACTGCTGCAGTCCTTGGGACGAACATAGAATAGAAACCCTACGGCATGGAAACAGGCCATTCGGCCCAAAATGTCCACACTGACTCTCTGAAGAGCATCCCACCCAAACTCACCACCCCCCGATCCTATCCCTGTAACCCTGCATTTTCCATGGCTAATCCAGCCAACCTACACATCCCTGAACAATATGGGCAGTTTATCATGGCAAATCCACCTAACCTGCACATTTTGGACTGCTGGAGGTAAGTGGAGAACCCGGAGAAAACCCACGCAGACACAGGGAAAACATACACTGGTAGTGCTTTTAAAGAGGAATATCCTGGATACAGATCCAGTAACAGTAAAGGAACAGCAATGTATTCCCAAGTCAGGATGATGTGTGGCTTGGAGGGAAACTTGCAGGTTCTGGGTTCCCATACATCCAATGACCTTTACAATGGTAGAGGTCATGGGTTTGGAAGGTGCTATCGAAGGAGCCTTGGTGAGTTGGCACAGTGCAGGCAGACATACAAATGAGGAACAAGGGTAGGCCACTCTGCCCCTTGAGCCTGTTCTGCCATTCAATAAGATCATGGCTGATCTGATTTTAACCTCAACTCTACATTCCTACATACCCACAATAATCTTTCATTCTCTTGGTATCTTCAGTTGATAAACACTGTTTCTAACTTTTATTTCACCTATTTTTGTAATCAACTTGTTCAGAGATGTTATTACGCACCTTTTGGAGCAGGTGGGATTTGAACCTGGGCCTCCCGATTCAGGGGTAGGGACTCTACTGCTGCATCACATCTATTGTGCATCAAGTTCAAGGGCCGCAAATGTTGAATATTTGCACAGCAGGCGCCATTCAAATGGGCTGCTTTGTCTTAGATGGAGTCAAGTGACTCAAGTGCTTGCGGAGCTGCCTCCATCTAGCAAAGTGCGGAATATTCTATTGCACTCTCGACTTGCGACTTCTAGATGGTGACAGGCTTTGAGGTTACAGGAGACGAGTTAATTGTCACAGAATTTCTGTCTTTGACCCGCTTTTGTAGCTGTAGTATTTACACGGCTGGTCCAGTTCAGCTTCTGATCAATGGTACCCTCAGCATGTTGATAATGGGGGTGTATTCAGTGATGGTAATAGCATTGAATGCTGAGGGGAGATGGTCATTCCCATCACACAAGGGCCAGGCAATGTTTGTTGCCATTTATCAACTCAATGTTGTCCAGGTCTTATTGCACATGAACTACTTCAGTGTCTGAGGAGTTGTGAATGCACAGCATTCAGCACCCATTTTCAATAAACATCTCCACTTCTGACCTTAAGATGGAGGGAAGGTTACTGATGAAGCAGCCGTCGATGGTTAGACCTAGGACACTACCTCCTACAGAGACATCCTGGGACAGAAATAATTGACCTCCAACAACCACAACCATATTCCTTTGGGCTAGATGTTGTATCAACACTGCCTTTATGTCAAGGACAGACATGCTCACCTGAGTGCGCATGCATCGGTTTGTACACATGCATTGAGTGCATGTGCATGTTTATATACCTCAATGTGTCTATTTGCATGCATGCATGTAGTGTACCTGTATGCATATATGTGCATGTAACCCTAACCATTACTCTGGGCAACGTCAGTAAACTGAAGATAAATCGAGACATTGCTGCTGTGTAATTTGGTGATTGTGTATTTGACCCACCGAAGGGAATAAATTTTGAGACCTGGAATGAGCAGAACACATACTAAAGCGATTTCGTTCTATAATACTACGCTGTTTCCTTCTGACTGGGAGAGTCGAACTCAAGGACAGTCTTTGGCTAGTGGGCCAACTATTTTTGAACTGTAATGAGGAGATGATGAAAGGATTGAGAATTTCTAATACGTTTCCTGCAGATGGCCTTAGTTGCATAACTGTTAAGCACATTAAGACTATGATCTCTTGAGCTTCAAGACAGCAAAAGCATAGGGGGATGGAGTTATGTAAAAGACCAGCCATAATCTGTAGTGAGTATTGCCTCCAGGTTCACAGGTTCATATAGTATCTGAGACATACCAAGGATCCTGTTGTGAACACAACAGGAAGCTGTGAGGATGAATGGATACACTGATCAACTCAATTAGAAGAGGGAAAATAAGACTCCGGTTGATCACTCGTTGGCACAGGGTTCTCATTTACTGTTCTTGTTTGTATTTGTCAACAGTGAGAGGTGGAGTTAAAAGAAGGGTCTCAGGTTCCTGGGACCACTTGGGTGGCAAAGGTTTTCAGAGAAAGCGCTGGTGAAAGAATAACAGGCAGCTGATGGAGTAGAAATGAGGCTACTGTAGTGAGGAGGAACTTCAGCAGTGGCATCCTCCTGGTTTGGAGAAAGCCAGAAGAACACAGGAAGTGGGTGGGGGGGGGGCGACAAGATGCTGCCCACAAGTTGGCTACCTTTATATAACAGAGTGCCAATGATGTAGGAGGCTTTGGCTTTCTGGGAAATTGGATATTTATGCTCTGAATCACAAAAACCTCTGGTTAATGCTGTGAGTGGCATCATAAAGTGTTGGCACCACCATTTCTGTTGCCTGAACAACACCTGAGACCTATTGTCAGAAAACCAAGCCATAGCTGCTGCTTCTCCCCGTTTCAAAAGGCCCTCAGTTTCCAGGTTCTACTTTTGGCCTGCTCCCAGCATCACTGGCAGGATGCCAAAATTGTACATGGATGAATTGTGTGTTTTACAGTTCAAATTAAGCCTTACAAGCTGGGGCTGGCATCAAGCTCCTAATTTAAAATCCAGACACTTTTTTATATTTACTATATCCTATTCAATATTATTATATTTTCCCCTCTGTAAGGATCCTTCCAGCTTTCAGATATCTGGCAGAAGTGTTGAGCAGATCCTATCATTCTTATTAAGAACTCCCCTTTTCAATGTTCATCTCTCGTGATTCAATCAAACATTTGTAGTAAGACTTTTTTTTGGTTGAAAAGTGTCCTGCACATTAGAGGTACAAAGATTATTGAAAAACACTATAAATACACAGGCCTGTGAATTCTTGAAAGAGACACATTCAAGTTTTCATACTCGGAACCACAAGTGAATTAGATCAGAAAAATACTGAAGTAAGTTTTCTCTTTTAGAGAATTGTGGAATTGTTTAAAATGCTGGTTAGGCCACAACTGGAACTACTGCATGCACATTATTGTATGGATATGATTGCACCAAAGAGGGTGCACCTATAGAGGAGGTTTACCATGCTGCTGCCTGGGCTGGAAGGTGTGAGCCATGAGGGAAAATGGAAAGGCTGGGGTTGTTTTCCTTGGAGCAGTGGAAGATTGAGAGGGCATCTGATAAGTGTATAAGGGGTCATGTGGGGCATAGGGGTGAATAGGAAGTAACTCTTGCCATTAGTAGAGGGATTAATACCAGCGGGCTTGGATTTAAGAGGAGAATTGAGGAGAACCTTTTGTCACCCAAAGGATGGTGGGAGTCTGGAACTTACCACCTGAAAAGTTGGTTGATTCAAAACTTCTTAAAATTTAAGCAGCATTTAAAAATTCACTTTAGTTCCTGTAGCCCTAAGGGCTATGATCCAAGAGTTGGGGAAAAAATGAATTAATGCAGTCAGATTTCTTTTAAGACAGCATGAACATGATGTGCTGGAAACATGAATTATTCTTTTCTTGATAAATTCTATTTCCTTTCATAGCAAGTCAGTAATTAAATAAGCTTTATCTTCATCTGCATCTAATCATTTTCAGCACGGACCATTGCACCTAACTTTGCCAATGAATGCTGTCTCTTTCTTTGCAGTTTCTATTGGGATCTTACCAACTGCACATTCCTGATTGCCAACAAGATGGACTGTTTTTGGCCAAATCAAGTGGTGGATCAATTCTTTGTCACCATCCACAAGGAATACTTTGCAAACTGTTCAATTTCTGGGAGAGGCCTAGGGGATCCCCCAAACAACATTGTAGGGCCTTTCATTATGATTCCAGTGATGGTCACATTGCTTATGACAGCCCTTGTGGTCTGGAGAAGCAAACGAAATGAAGGCATTGTCTAAAGGTTTTACAACCTCTTCTAGCAGTAGAGGACATCACAGGTTTTAACCTTGATCTAGTAAAGCAATGATACTGTTTCAGCCAACTTTATATTGGAGAACATCAACAACAGATTGAACTTCAGAATCTAAAGTTGAACCCAAACTCACTGTTGAATGATCCTCTGGTACCTAAACAGCAAGTGGAAAACACAAGACATTCGAGGTACCACTGCTCCTAATCAGGGATATAGGTCAAGTTTAACAAATTGTTTCAAAATATTCTGTATTATCTTTCAAACTTTAATACTTGGTTAAAGTTTAAATCACCTGGAACCAGCCATTAAACATTTGTGGCTTTAGTGATGAGTTTGACAAATTTTAGACTGTTAAATCAAAACATGCTAAGCACTGAATTCTCAGTGTGCTGAAATTCATGTTTTTTTTCCTCTCTAAGTAACACATTTGTGCAAGTTATTGATGTACTCTTGCAAGCTTTTGGTGTCTATGCTGGAAGACATGAATTTTCTTTTCTGATGGAGAACAAATTGACCACAAATAGTTTCTGAAACGTAAAATAACACAAATATATTCAACCCACTAATGCTCATAGAGCAAGAGAGTGAAGGGAAAAGAAGTTGCCAGAAAAATTATAGCTAAAGAACCAGTAAAATGTAACTTTTAATTCGATCCAATATGCTAATTTTGTTATGTGATTTTTTTTATTATTGTGGGTGTTGGCAGTGCCCCTATAAACCTAATCTATCGAGTAGTCTCACTGCTTTCTGAACACAAAACATTGCATTGGTACTCAAATCTTGGATTCATAACAGAAAAAAGGTTGGTAGGTGAAATTCTGGGTTGGCACATGGGCCATTCAAAGCAGGAACTGATACGTTTTGGTGGAAACACATTCAAAACAGATTTCAAAAGGAAATTGAACAAATAGTTAGAAGGGGAAAATTTTGCAGGACTATAGTGAAAAAAATATTTCTAATTGAACAGTTCTTGTACATCTTCTCTATAACCGTGTCCAGTTAGATCTGTGCTAACATTGGCCCTCAACCAGGGTGACGACAGGGGAAGACTATAATTGCTTCAAATGTTTTTCAGCAGGAATGGAAAATAATTATCACTTTTTGCTGCTGTTGACTATTGGTGACTCTATTGTCCCTGCTAGAAAACTCAAGTTTGGATGTTCATAGAGGCTAGAATTGGAATAGGCCTTTGTCTGCCATCAAATAGCCTCCAGTCCTCATTGTGTGGATCAGCCAAAAAGAATGCAGTTGCTTTCCCAAAAGATTAAACATCCTCAAGAGAAGAGGGAAAAGTGAGAGAAAACTTTAAAAGAAGTGCTTTTGTGAAGATTGGTTCATTGAGGAAAATGTTCACCTATAACACTTGCTAGGTAAATGTAAAGTCACCATAGTCCCAGGTGACCATTGTCTCATTAGAGAGGGCATCTAGTGGTGGTTTAACCTGAGGGCCACTACACCTTAGGCAAGGGGAGAGGTTGAAAAGGAAAGTCCTTAGTGTAACACTTACTATATTAAGCCAACAGAATGCAACGGAGCCCCAGAAATGCTCATCAGCAAATAGAAACAGAAAATGTTAGACCGTTCAACAGCCAGGCGATAACAAGACACAGAAATAACATTTCACCTCAATGATGTTTCATGAGAAGTGGGAAAGGTGAAAGACGTAACAGGATTTAAGCAAAACCAGGAAAAACAATGGGGGCTATGGGAGTCAAAAGGGAAGGTCTATGATCAGGTAAAAAGCAGGAGAGATTAATTGACAAATGGGGTGATGGAGCAAGGCAAAATGGAGTGGTAAAGGGGGATAAAAAAAATTATGTAGCCAGATTGGAGTGATTGTTTACTGTAGGATGAATGCAAGACAGTAGAGGAGTAGGGAAAACCTTATAGAATAGGACAACGTTGTCTGGGAATGTGGTAGTGGATAAACACTACAGGCCTACGCCAACATCTGGTTGTTTACAAATAGAAAATGCCCACCCCAAGCAATAGCCTGCATCTGTGCCCAGTTGCTCTACTGCAGTCATCCTGCAGTTGCACACTCTAAGAAATTGGTAGCAGTGACAAAGATCTGAAGCTGTGAGTGTAGAGAGGTCAAAGTGGGAGTGGAAAGGAGAATTGAAGCAGGTTAGGTCATGCTTAGTACAGGTGTTCAACAGTGGGAATCACCTCATCTACATTTGGTCTCTCCAATGTAGAGGTGACTGCATTGAGTAACAAAAACAATTTACTAAGTTTGAAGTACAGGTAAATCTCTCTTTTACCTGGAAGAAGTGCTTGATACAATGGGAAGGAAGAAGGTAACAGGGAAGTTCTTTAGCTCCTAAATTTGCATGGGAAAGTGCTGTAGGAATGACCCATCATGCTGGGAGTGGGGTAATGGAAGATTGGACCAGGGTATTGTTTGGGAGTGGTAATAATGACAGAGGGTGCAATATCACATGTCATTGTCCAGGCCCTTCAGCATGGCCAAACATGTTGTTGTCACCGGTCCTGGACGGACCAGTAACTTGACACAGTATTGTGCATGACATAGTTGTGACTGGGTATCAACCCATCTGATGTATCCTTTATGTGGAAGTCCATATACACCATATCATCACTCTCATCAACAGTCTGTTACCTCATCAAATACTCAAAACAAGTTAAACATAGTTTGCCTTTAAAATGTCTGTGGCAGCTTTCCTTAATTAGGGAACACTTCCATAAATGACTGTTAATATTGTTTTGAAATGGTTTCCCCACTGAGGTTAAACTGACTGGTCTGCAGTTGCTAGGCTCAAACAAGGGTGTAGCATTTGATGTTTTCCAGTCATCTGGCACCAGCCTTGTATCTAAAGAGGATTCGAAGATTAGGGCCAGTGCCTCTGTAATTTCCACCTTACAGCATTTGGTTTCTTCAAGTCTCTGAACATTTTTATGAAATTTAAGTACAGCCAGTTTTTTGAATATTTTCTCATTAATACATATTCTTTCCAGTGTCTCACTTATCTCCTTTTTCACTATAATTTTGACAGCATCTTCATCTTTGGCAAAGACAGATGCACAGTATTTATCTGGTACCTTAGCCATAGAATCTGCCTTCAGGATAAAACTTGTACCAGTATTGGTGGAGAGGAGGAACAGAGTGAGTGAGGTTGGAGATGAGTGTTGGCATCTGCATGCTGTGGCTGAAGCCTTTTAGCTACAGTGTTTGTTCCCGGGTTCTGTACCGTTGTGTACCAGGAGGCACGGAGCAGCAGCTGTCTCTGTTACCAGAAATTTTTCTAATTTGTCCATCTCCCCTTATTACACTTTTACTACTTAAATACTTATAGAAAACTTTTGAATTCCCTTTTTATTTTGATTGCTAGACTTTTCTAATACTCTGTCTTTGCTTCTATCACAGATGAGTAACTTGGCATGCAGTACTGTGTTTGGGAATACAGACTTTACGTATCCTGGACTCAGATTTGAACATACATTATCACATCATGAACCAGTAACTGGACATCTGGTATAAAAAAAATGAAAAAACAGGAGCAGCAAAAGGTCATCCTGCCCTTTTGAGTCTGCCCCACCATTCCATAAAATCATGGCTGATTTCCATTCTCAACTCTATTTCCCATGCATATCTGGATCTATTGATTCCACAAGAATTGATAGCCTATTTATCTCAGCTTTGAATATACTAAATGACTAGAAGGGCTCTGGTGGCACAATGGTACTGTCCCTATCTCTGAACCAGGAGGTCTGGGTTCAAATCTCACCCACTTCAAAATTGTGTAATAATATCTCTGAACAGATTGATCAGAGAATATGGATACTCGACATTCACTGTGCTAGACAATTCTAATGATTCGCAACTCTTTTACTCAGCTCAGTTTTAAATGATCAACCCCTTATCCTGAGACCATGTCCCTAAGCTCTAGATTCTCCAGTCAACAACCTGTGTTTACTGTCAAGACCCCTCAGAATCTTATGTATTCTGATCAGATTACCTCATTATTTTAAACTCCAGGTAAAAATCATTCCATTCAATTTCTCCTCATAGGACAACACTCTAAAGCTTGGGAATCAACCTAATAAACCTTCAATGCACCACCTTTGTGTATGGCCTTTGTGATACAAGATGAAAACTGTGCTCTGTACTCCAGATCTGGTCTCAGCCAAGCCCTGTATAATTGTGGCAAGACTCCTTACTCTCATACTCCAATGTTCTTGCAATAATGACCAACATGTAAGTTGCTTTCTTAATTGTTTGCAATTCTTGCATGCTAACTTCAATGCTCCTTATACGAGAATAGCCAAATTACTTTGTATACCAAAATTTAAAAGTTTACTATTTTAAAAAATTGATTTTCTATTCTTCTTATCAAGGTGAATAATCTCAAATTTCCCCATATTATACTCCATTCTACCCACAGGTTTAACATCTATATTCCTTTGCAGCCTTCCTCACTTATCATCACATGAATTTGCACATGTACAAAAATCAAAGTACATTACCCTTGATCCTCTCATCTAAGTCATTATCATTCATGAAGTCCTCACTTAAGGTTGTGGTTGTATGCCTGAATAGTTACTCTAAGTGAAGAGATTTTAAAGTCAGACTAAGGTTCATGCAGATACTTCTTGCCCAGAGAAAAACAATGTACACATTTTAATTCTGTACATGCATGTGCAGCATTGTGTATTCTTAGCTGAAATAACTTGTAAAATAAGGCCATAAATATTAAATAATTACTGTCTTCATTGTTTCAACATGGTAATTTCTGGTAACAGAGACAGCTGCTGCTCCGCGGCTCCTGGTACACAACGGTACAGAACCCGGGGACAAATACCGTAGCTAAAAGGCTTCAGCCACAGCATGCAGATGCCAACACTCACCTCCAACCTCACTCACTCTGTTCCTCCTCTCCACCAATACTGGTACAAGTTTTATCCTTTTCTGTTCTCAATCCCATTGTTGAGGCCAGAATTTCCTCCTCCAAGACCAGAGCAAATGGACTACACCACGAATGACCCAGGTACTCCGGCATGGTGCCATCCCCACGTCCACTGCCAGAACCGAAGGGCCGCGTCTGAGATGTAGGAAGTACACTAATCCATGATAACAACGTGCAATATCAACCCACAACTCTTAACACTAATGTACAACCTGGATGTTGACAATGCACATAAATCTTGCTAAATTAAAAATGGTGACAAAATGAAAAAAACCCAAAGAATTAAAAATGCTAAAACAAAATGACAATAAGATGGGCAACTTAAAAGTGAGTGCTTACCGTAGATTGTCTTAAGAGCAATGTATAACTAGAATTTTAAATTATAATTTGTATTTTGTGTGTTAAATAGTGGAAGATATGGAGAGTCTTTTTAAAGAGTTTCAATTGAGTGTTTTGGGCTGCCATGTTGATAAGTCTGGAGATCGGTTTTGTCTAAATGTATTTTAATGAGGTTTTGCAACCTATAGTCGAGGAGCGGGTAGGATTGAGGGTGCGTTTTAACAGTTCACTGCATTAATTAAGAGATAAAACGCAATTAAAACAATTATGCCATTGTCTAGCAACAGGGGTCCAGACAACAAGAAACAAGGCAATCTAGAAAGTCAGTCAGACTGTGTGTGGTGTATGGCAAAGTGAAGGACAGCTGGACACTTGGTTTAATGAACTCATTTGTTTCTTCTGAAATTAAAGTAATAGTGAATTTACTTTGCAATTTGGTTCAAATGTCCAGGATGAGACAAACATATAAAGGAAAAAGAGCATCTTGTGACTAAACAGAAATTCGTCACAAGAAAACCAGTTGCAGCTCCACCAGCTTGTGCCAGAGCAAGGAGCCTTAATGTGGAGATTGTGGTGACTCTTCACTGAAGTCTGGGTGCTTACGAGGATATTGCTGGGATAATAGGGGTAATGGGAGCTTGAATCTTTCACTGGATGTCTGTAATGAAATCTTTCCAATGTTTAGTCAAGTGTAATGTGTTTTCTTGTTTAATAAACATATTCTGTGTTAAAAAGTATACTGGCAGCCTCCTGTGGTCTCTAGAGTTTTAAAATTAAATCAAAGTTAGGATCTAATAACCCAGGTTTCTCCTTAATACTGAGCAAGTCAGATTCTAACATAAACTGGGATCGTAACATTCGTAAACAAAACATTGTGGCACCAGCACCAAAATTTGTGGCAGCTACTAGCCTGCCAACTTGAAAATGCCAGAAATCACTACTCTCAGCTATCTGTTAAACAATATTATCTGTTGCTCAGATATCAGTCATGATTTTTAAATATCTTATAAACATGTTAAAAGTGAATTCCAACAATGACTGATGTTAGGTTAACAGCCTGTAGATTCCAGTTTTTCTCTCCCTCCTTTCTTGAATAATGGTGTTATGCTTGCTGGGACTGGTCAAGACTATAGGGAACCTTGGATGATAATGACAAACACATTCAATATCCCTATGGACACCTCTTTTAGAACCTTTGTAAATAAGCAATCAAAACCTGGGGTATTATGGGCCATTAAATCTCAGTTTATTCAGTGCATTTTCTCTACTAATATGAGATTAAGTTTTTCACACTTATTAATCCCTTGTTTTCCCATTAGTATTGCTTTTATGTTGTCTATGAAGAAAGAAAATATCTGCTTAACATTCCTGCCGTTTCTTTATTCACCATAATTTCTCCTGCCTCAACCTCCAAGGGAACAATGTCTAATTTTATTGCTTTTTCACTTGAAACATGACATCCTTTAGGAGCAGGGCTACCCCAGTCCTTCTCCATTCTGTCTGTATGGTGGACTTCATTGGAACAAATGTGAAGCAGTTGGAGAAAATGGGACAAGGGTATGGAGTTCTTGCATGCAGCAGCTTGTGTGGAAGCTTAGTCAGTCAATGTAACTGTGGGAGCTGGTGGGTGTGTAATGGACATTGGTGGACAGCTCATCCCCAGAAACGGAAACAGAAAGTGAAGGAAGGCTAGAATCAGAGATGGACAAGGTGAAGGTGAGAAGATGGAAATTGGAAGCAGCTTCCCATTTCAAATAAGAGAATGGAACAGTACCAATATGTCATTAATGTACTGGATAAAAAGATTTGAGAGAGGGGTAGGACTGGAACAAGGAACATTTCACGTTCTCCACAAAGAGACAGGCATAATTAGGACCTAATGTGGGCAACTATAGCCACACCGTTGACTTGGAGAACATGGGAGGAGTTAAAGGAGAAACTGAAGAGGAGGTGGCAAGGACCTGAAAACCAGAAGTTGTGGAACCAATCTAAAGCATCGTAAGAATCATGAACAAAAGTGGGAAGAGACTAAATGAAGTGCATAAGAACTGAGTCAACATAGGAAGAAATAATTTCAGTGGGGTAGGAACAGGCTGAAACAACGGATCTGCCAAAGTAGTCCTGTTTGTGGATTTTGGGAAAAAAATAAGTTTTAAAAAAAAAATTCAGCAGGATTGAGGAATTATGAAATGAGATGATTTGGAGGAGAGATCTGCAGAGGACAGGAGGTTAGTGACAGTCCTGGGACTAACAGCTAGATGTCCAATTGTGCGGTCATGGTCCAGGAAGAAACAGAAGGAAGGGTCTGATTGTTTGTGCTCAGCTTCTGCAAGACCAAGACCAAGACCAAGACCAAGCACCATCCTTGTCAGCAGGTTGGAAACAAAGTCAGGTCAGACCTAACAGAATGGAGACCTGGAGGTTCAGAGGAAGACAAGTTAAAGTGTGAAGTGAGCAGAAAAATTAAGATGGCTGATATCATATTGACAGTTCTTGATTATCAAACATAGCTAGGAGACCTGAAGGATATCCAGGTACAGGGTGGGTTTTGGACATGGATCCAGGGTCCATGTAGCAGGCAGAGATTTCTGCTGATACAAGTGGGCACAGAGGCGAAGGAGATGCAAGAACAGTTCAATATCATGCAGTGCCTGAAATTAATTGAAGAGGGATTTAAAGGAATAAAACCTAGTCCTTTGGTGAGCACAGACAGCATCCAGTATTATTTCTCTGTTCATTCTTGGGATATGAACACAGAAGAAAATATTGCACCTTTTGTGGTTGCCCATGGAAACGATCTGGTGAGGATACGACAGTGAGTAGTCTAGAGAATTCCAGGACTAACACAGTGATGATGAGGATTGTGTCTAGACCAGGACTGTGTATGACCTAGACGGGAACTTGGAGGTGATTGTGTTCCCATATGTTTACTACCCTTCTTCTACATAATAAAGACCTGCGGTTTTAGAAGGCCTTGTTGAAGAAGCCTTGCTGAGTTTGTGCAGTGAATGTTTAAGGTGGTGAATGAGCAAAAAGACATTATTTTTTCTGAATATAAGCTTTTTGACACTACACTGCAAGCAAAGGACCGAGCTAGAAATTGTCTACATGGTAGATGTCAGTGCTGTAGCTGCACTGGAACAACTTGGCTAGAAGCATGACTAGTTTTGAAAGTGTGATGTCGAAGGAACTCATAACTTTTGCTATGTCTGCTGCACTCATCGGATTCTTGATAGCACCTGAAATAATTCATATAGGTTGAAGACTGCCACCTGTGATAGTAGGGGTATCAAGGAGGAAACCAAGAAGAATCAACTGTAGTATTTCACACCTCTAGCTGAAGACGGCTGTTAATATTACAGAGATAGTAGGAACTGCTGATGCTAGAGAATCTTAAATAACAAGGTGTAGAGCTGGATGAACACAGCAGGCCAAGCAGCATTAGAGGAGCAGGAAAGCTGACGTTTCGGGTCTGGACCCTTCTTCAGAAATGGGGGAGGGGAAGGGGATTCTGAAATAAATAGAGAGAGAGAGAGGGGGAGGTGGATGGAAGATGGATAAAAGGAGCAGATAGGTGAAGAGGAGATGGACAGGTCAAAGAGGTGGGAATGGAGCCAGTAAAGGTGAGTGTAGGTGGGGAGTTAGGGTGGGGGTTGATCAGTCCAAGGAAGATGGACAGGTCAAGGAGGTGGGGATGAGGCTGGTAGGCAGGAGGTGGGGGTGGGGGTTGAGGTGGGAGGAATGGATAGGTGGGAGAAAGGATGGACAGGTTAGGGAAGCGGGGACAAGCTAGGCTGGTTTTGGGATGCGGTCGGGGGAGGGGAGAATATTACAGCCTTTCCTTTTGTATTCACATGCTGGCCTCTGCTAACAATGAGGATGGGATGCATTTCTCTTTCCGTTAATTGTCTTCTATAATTCTCAATTTGAAGTAGCAAGACCATGGAGCCTTGATCTGTTCCACTGGTCATCAGGATCACTTTGCACTATTGCATGGTGCTGCCACTGTGAAGAATACATGCAGTCCTATGTTGTGACTTCACTATAGTGGCATTTCATTTTCAGGTATGCCTAGTGTTGCTCCCATCATACAATAACATTACATCTTTCTTCTTAAAATGAGCATTTCACTCTCAGGCAATGTATTCCACAACCTAAGTCCTGTCCACAATATCAGCACTATGCAATTTAAAGAAAAGGCTTATATTGGACATCTCTGCGCTTGATCCATTGGTCTATAGCAAGGAAGAAGATTGTTGTTCAAGATGACCTTAGTACTAGGCTGTCATATTACAAGCAAGACGGCCAATACACCACCATCACGCTGACCACGATTCACCATATTGTATGTAAATGTGGCTCAAGAGCATGAGATTACTTGCTGAATCTCAACCAACTAGAATAACCTCAGTCATGGTGTACACAGAGATCCCCTAAGGGGGCAAACCATCTGCATATACACAGTGATGAAACAGCTAAGATAAGGTGAAACACACCGGTACTACTGGAGGGAAAACAATTGGATCAGGATACAAAATTGGGAATTCCAAACTGCAAGTGGATTTCTCCCAAGTGACACTAGAATTGGAACAGTTAATCAAAGGACACTTTGTTGTGACTATTGAGATTATCCACACCATGAATAAACATGGGAGAATACTGGAGTATCTTTTAAATCCACATTTTTGACACATAGGAGTACTTGGGAAGAAACAGATCTTGATGCTTGCTCAGCATTCAATGCATAATGTTCATTATATACTTGTTAGTAATGTAAAACAAATTGGTAGAAATTTGCAACAGATTAATGAAATAATGCTTAGAGTTGTCCCTAAATATCTTCAAGGGTGAAGATATTAGGAAATGGTTAATCAGACAGTACTGTTGTCAATTTTAACTTTTCAATGGTCCCTTATCTCACTAGCAACATAATTATCCCTTTGATATTAACAGCTCCTGTAACAAATTTGTAACAATTGTTTAAGAGATCTAATTGGGTGCCTGGACAACACAGCATTTTTAAGCAAATTAATCGTTCAATTTCACAACAATACAGAATTTCAGTTATATTCTTATGGTAGATAAAGCGGCAGCAAAAGTTGTACTGATGAGATAAACAGCTGCAGGCAAAAGCAACCTTGGACAGATACATTTGTCACAGTGCTAGATTTCCGGGCTATCAGATGATTAGGAGGCCTCAGTTAACTTGAATTCCTGTAACATTTTCCAGCCTAAAGACTTACTTGACAGGCCAAGCGGGGATGTGCAAAACTGAAGACATTGATAAGGGACATGAAAGGATGATTCGGCAAAATACCAGTATCGAGGAACAGCTACAAAGGAATGGCGCTGTTGAGGGAGGGGGCAAGCTGAAGAAAGAGAGGTTTGTTCAAATTCAGCCTTAAAATGTTTCAACTTCAAAAGTGATCATGTGCGTCAGCTCAAGATTTCACCATAAGCACTTATTTTCTATAGTTGTTACATGCTTAATAGATCCATGAACATCCACCCATAAAACAAAGGACTTTCAGTATTATTGAAACAAAAAAAAAACGTATTGCTGAGCTTTTTCATCTTGCATTCATCAGATCATGTATCAAACTTCAAAGGGAATACCAATTTATACTGCATGAGAAAAAGGGTGCTGATTCATTGACGAGTAGTCTCCCGATTTCTTGGGCATTGCCATGGAGAATGCACCACTAAATGTCGTTGTTTATTAAAAAATAATAAAATCAATTCTGATTGGGCAAAGCATACCATGGGGAATAGACCAGGGATCAGCTGTCCCCCAAGCTTTTGTTTATTGAAAAGAGTGCAATGCCTGGATCAGTTCTGTTTGCAATAGAATTGGAACATATGATGAATGTATGAACATATGGAGCCACAGAATTTTTAAGGAGTAACAATTAACAACTTTCATCGTCTAACAGCTAAAACCACTTCAGGTTATTTCTTGATCCTGGTCTGATTACCCGCTATCACAACTTTGACACTGATCTTCAAGTGGTACTGAGAAGAACCTTATAGAAGCTAGGCTGGTTGTCCCATCATTGTGTCCTACTTCAACGTCAAGGCAAAGACAAACTGTCTGCCTGACTTGCTCTTGATCTTAACTTTTGGAACTTTTTGACAGAATGGAGTGGCTTGCTTAGTAATTTCAGAGGGAAGTTAAGAGTCATCAACATTGATGTGGGTGTGGAGTCACAAATGGGTAGGTCAGGTGCTTGTTAACCCACAGAATATTAAAATGAACCTTTTGGGTTTTTACTGCCAACCAACAGTTTTCACGATTACTTTTCTCATACAGCCTTTTATTCCAGCTTTAAAGAAAAATGAATCCATATTCCAGACTGCCAGGGCAGAATATGAATTCAATCTTTAGACTACTGGTCTAGGAACATAACCACTTCGATATGATTACTCTCTCATGCATTATAGTTACTGAACATGCATCTTTACATGTTGTAAATTAAAATTCTGTATCCATGTTGTAGACTAATAACTAGACATGCAGTATCATCAGAAGCATTCTGTCCCATTTTGCCAGATTACTATGTATTGGAGAGGTTAACAATGTACATTTGCATTACTTTGGTGTATACAAGATATTTTAGTGTATAATTAATGTGATTTGCTTGACAGTGTTCATTAGTGATATTTACAGCATATATTAGACTGATTTTAACCTAAGTTGCTGTTTGGTTAGCACACTGATGTTATTCAATAATTCATATGCTTTAATGTACATTGGAAATTTTCAGTACATTTTGGAAATTTAGTGCACAAAGTAATTTTACAATGTAGATTGGCATGTTTTTGCAGTGTCAAGTGGAGTTGTTTTAGCACATGCTGCTGCTTGTTTTAATGTAAATTGGAGACATCCAGTGGTATATTGGAGTGATTTTACAGTGAATACTGGAGTTGCTTTACTTTCAGTTGCTATTTGATCAATACACATTGAAGCTTCTTTTCCTGCATATTGTTTATATGTGTTGTTTATTTGTCCAGCTATTATGGGTGACTAAGCAGGAAGGTGGGTGGTTCTAGATTGTTAGTATTCAGCTGCACAGCACCAGGGGAATGATGTTTTGATTTCTGGGAGTATTTGGAGTCAAGAAGCCTCACTTGCCATTCACGACACAATGATAATTTATCAGCAAAAATATCATTATTGAAAACAAATCAATAGAAATTTGCATGATAATGGATCAAAATGAATGATGGCTGCTGATAAAATAATACTTATACATCGCAACACAAACAAGGGACGGAAGCTACTAAGAAATAATTCATCTAGCAGTACAGCCATTGATTTCGGTGTGATTGGTCTTTTGCTATAAACTAATTTGTAACAAGTCCTTGAGTATTTAGAAGTCCAATTAACTGCATAAACGACACGGCATCTTTTAGACTATTTATCTTACAACTTCACAGGGTATAGGATTTGCGTGCCATTTTTATGATGGTCAGATGAACATGGCAGGAGAAGGTTCATCTGATAAGATATGACAGTTGCAGGCAAACACAACCTTGGAAAGCTACATTCGTATAGGATTTGATCACAGAAGATCATAGGTGGTTAGGAGGCCTCTGTCAGTTTAACTGTCTCAAGGTGGCACATCCAATCTCATTTACGCAAGTCACTGGCAATTAGGATCACCTTTCCTATTTGCAGTGTGGTCTACAAAGTATCTCAAACGAGATAAAAATACCACTAGCATCTAGTAACAGATCTCAATTCATGTGCATGAATTTGGAGCTTTCATTTACAATTGACAAGTTTACATCATAGATTACATGTCTTAGATGGCACTTACCAGCAATATGTATTGGGGGGGTCAGCCACCTGGTCCACTGAGCTCATCTCTGCCATTCTGCATGAAATGATGGCTTTTTGATCCAGATTTTGATACCATTTACTTATTTATCAGAAACCTCGCTTTCCAAACATATTATGTGATTCCCCCAAAACAACAACCCAAAACTAACAGGAACTAGGCTAACTTCAGCAGAGATACAAATCAGTTGCACAGTTCACTGCAGTGGCAAGACAAGGCTGGAGGGAAGTGATGTTGGGGAGATATGGGGTTGTTGAGTGATAGAGAGGTCAGTAATGCGAGGTGCTAGTGAGCAAAAAAGTTATGAGGGACAGTGTAAGAGACCTTGCTTAACATCAGTAGAAATATAGTCAATAATTCAGTAAACTTTTGGAAGGGGTGGTGCAATAGAGTTACTATGGAATAGTGAGAGAGCTAAATTAACATGAATAAAAGTACAAATCAGTAACACATGATATCAAGGAGGAGAAATCTCAGAGCAATAGTGAGAGAAAGCTGAATCAATGATGGTAGTGATACAGTAATTGTGTGTGCTGGCTAAATGTGTGAAGAAATGGGGTGTCATTACTTTGTGGGTGAGGATTCAGTGGAATATTGGTAGGTATGAGAGGTCCTTTGAATGCTGAAGTAGACAATTAACCTGCTGTTGAGGAGAGTGCACTGCAGATCAATGTCCACAGATCAACACTTCAGCCATTGTTAGAAGAGATACACGCACTTACATGAGCACTGTATACACTACATATAGTAATATATGCACATATGCAAGTACATTATATTGTACACATTTAGCAATATATATGCATGCATACAAGTACACAACATATTTTTCACATTAGGTAATATATGTACTTATAAGTATGCCATATATATCTCACAGCTATAAACTTTAGTTTCAGCTAGGGGATTACATTTTACAAACAGATTCATTTCACATCTGCACCAATAGACTTACTTTATCCAATAACTGACCAAGTGGGAGCTGTGGGGCCAAGTAATGCGTACAATTTATTTAAGGCAGTGTCCCAAGCAAGGACTGAGACACTGGCTCATGTGTTGCTCACTGGATTTTCCACACACAGTCGTTTAACATTTGCAAGCCACATGCTGTTAATGCTTCAATTAAACACTTCTGTCTTAAGACATTTTGTTGCAAAATATTGTGGTTTCCACACCACACCAGATTACACTAGAAAAATGTCCTTTTTGATTCACTCAGTAAAGAGACAGACCCCAGATGCTCTGTACAATCCTTATAATTGAAGAAAACTCGACTATTTTGCCACAATAAGAGTAATTATTCTTGAATCTTAGCCCAAAGTTGCCCATCACTTGCTGTGCTGTATTGACGCTGAATTCAAAGTAGCACCAACAGCCTTTCTTCTTCATAACAACACTGTTACTGGACTGCCTCAATCCAGTGTTTAATTGATGACCGACATCAGAAGACAGAAGACTTGGCTTCTACACCTTGAAGTAAACTGTCCGACAAGGCAGCTCATCTGATCATCTTGCATAGCGCCTAATATAATCCTGCACTTTACTCCGAAAGTCCTCCTGCAGGAATGACACAAAGTCAAACATCAAAAGACGTTATATAACAGACAGGTGCTCATCCTTAGTACAACAGACCGATTAGAAAGAAGGGGATCAGTAGAAACTAGGTAATCAGAGGCCCTACAGCCCAATGTCACTGGCAGAGACACTTCTAGACTCAATAATCCTGGCAAAATTAATTAGCATTCAATAAATTATTTGGTAATAAATTAAAGTCAGCAAGGGGTTTTTACAAGGTAATTTGCATTTGACTAACTTGATTCAGTTTTGTGATGAAGTAACAGAGGTTTGACTGAGTCATTGCAGTTAATATGTATATGGACTTTCAAAGACTTGACAAAGTGTCACATGATTGACTTGTCAACAAAATCAAAGCATAAGGGACTAAAGGGACAGTGAACAGCGTGGATGCAAAATTTTACTAAGGGATAGAAAAGAGTGTGTGGTAATTGGTTGTGTTTCAGACTGGAGGGAAGTAGTGTTCCCGAGGGATTAGTATCAGAACCACTTTTCTTGTGATGTATATAAATGACCTATGCTTAGATATAATTTCAAAGCTTTCACAATGATATAAATCTTGGAAATATAATAAATCAGGAGGAATATATGAACACATTTCAGAGAATGTGGATAGATGGATGAAATGGGCAAAGACACGGCTGACCAAATTTAACATGGTATTTAATGCAGTAAGGTTGAAGTGATAGGAAGTACAAAAGAGAGGCAATAGAAACTAAATGTTAAACGGGATGCTGGAACAGAGATCAGTAGTTAATGTACATAAACCTTTGAAAATGGCAGGACAGATGAGAAGGCTGTGAAAGAGCATGTGGAATCTTGGCATTGTTAATAGAGAAAAGAGTGAAAAAGCAAGGAAATTATGCTAAGCTTTCTCAAAAGGCTGGTTTCGTCTCTGGTGCAGCATTGTGCCCAATTTTGGGCACCATATTTTGGGAGGGATGTCAAGGTTTTGGCGAGTGAACAGAGGAGGTTTACCAGAATGGAGCAAGGATGATGCGTTTCAGGTTTGTAGACAGACCAGGGAAGCGGGATTGTTCTCTTTTGTGCAGGAAGGACTAATTAGATTTGTTATAGGCATTCAAAACCATGAACTTTTGTGATAGCACACATAAGGAGAAGTGAAAGCCACAAGGTGGCTTTTATTGGTTAAAAGCGGTACATGTTCAGTGAACTGAATGGCCACTTTCTATGGCCATTTTATGATCCCATGATCCCAGTAATACTGCACACAGCAATGTCCACCGTAAGACAACAAGAGACTTCTTTCCAGAAATCACAGATTACTCCACGTGTAACACTACACAGATGACTCCCCCTCACTTATGTAACACTGCACAACCACACCTGTGCACTCACCCCAACAGAGAGAGTTTAGTGTCTTTGGTGGTGTGCATAGAAAAAGTGTTCTCTTAGTACACAGACTGACCCACCTTGTCACGCAGATGTTGCTCTGCAGCTTCGATATTCAAGGGATCATCAAAATTCAAGAGATCCTATGACAGAGAAAGAGAGAGGGAGAGAGAAATTTTGAAAGCTAGCAGATTTTTAAGGCCATTCATTTGACCAAAACTAAACGTACATTGGGCTATATTCCAAAGTAGGGAATTCATGTGAGAAAGTGAAGAAACGCTGAACCACACAGAGCAGGAGGGCGCTTCATGCTGACCTTCCTCTCTGCTGAGTTAGCTACTCTCAGCTGGAATGCAAATAGACATCATAATTTGATCTAACACCTCAGTAATCAAGAAATACTTGACCAAATACTTGATGATTAACACACATTCTGAGCTTAAGTGGAATCAAATTCAGATATGATATGATGTTGCCACTCATTCACCTATACTCATTGTCTCAGTTTGTACACCCAGATTTGCCATGCCTGCGGAACCACATCCTAGCAATGTATCCCACCAACCCCTGGTTCAATTTTAGCCTGTAACTCACTCCTGATAATGATGATTCTTTGTATTAATTGCTGCCAATTCCCTGGAACCCTTTGATTAGATTACAAACTGTAACTCACTCATGGGCGTCTGTTGCATGAATTATACCTTTGATGGTTTTAGGAGAGACATTTAGTAGCTCTTATTGTTGATTAAGTTGCAAATTATTTCATACTAGCTGCCACTTAATGGGTTAATAGTGTGGGAAACAGAAGAGACGATGTTCTGCTCCACTACACTTGCATGGGTATCACACATGAATGATCCAAAGCAGAGCAAATCCTTGTTTAAAATTTTGTTTTAACTCCACATAATTTTGGTCTGCTTAGATACTTACAGTAAATAATGAATTCAATCCCCAGACCACATCCTGTGAGGAAAGAATACAGGAGGTTAAATACATTGCGATGAAACAGTACATAACGTTGGAGTACAGAATAAGAAAAAGTTAAATGTGCTTTGCAACTAAGCAGGTCTGCAACTATCTGAACGTTTTGTTAGCTGTCTCCTTATGCTTTTACCCCCATATCTCAGGGAAACCTGTCCACTACTGCAAGTGCCTCACAGAGACATGCCCATCATCATCACTGCACTCTGTCAGCATGAAAATGAAAGTCGCCTGGGTCCCAGAGGACCCTGTGCCACGCTCTGAGAGAGACAGTGTGAGAGAATGAGATGACTGGTGCTGAGTTCAACCCTAATGGTGCTAAATACAGTCGATATAGGAGACTATTTCAGGCTGTGACTTGTACATTGTTTAGCAACGCAAATGAAAAATTAGCAAAGTGCGAGCATGTGGGACATGGGAACTAATTTCAATGGAGAAAAATCAACTACAAAAGTCATTGCAGTCAAGAACAAATTGGAGAGATCTTCAAACGTGCAGTTTTATATCTTTGTAATATCTACTATCTCTACAATTTTCTCAATCTTTCTCTTCCGCTAACCATGGCCCCTTGTACATCTCTCCATCATTTCACCCCACCAATGGCAGCAGTGCCTTCAGCGGCATAGACTTCCTTTTCTCAGAGTCCTTTCCCACCTTCCAATGCTTCTCTAGCTCCTTGAAACTTAACTCTGACCACCTCTCCTGATATGTACTACATTGATTTGGGGTCCAGATTTGTCTGATTGCAAGGTGCTTCCTAGGAGCACAAATTTTTCTACGTTAATGGTGCTGTCTGGATAGAAATCATTGCTGCTGCCAACAGCTAACTCCTTTTTACACTCTTGAGTTTCATTCCCTGCTGTACATCACTTCTGTCACTATGGCCAGGGCAGCTGGTACTCGGGGCTAAGAGGAAACAAAAAAACAAAATTGTTTGTTCAAACATTTGATACATTTCCTAACTGTTAGGTTAGTGGTGTTTTGAAGTTGCCTCATCTTCCACTTTCTTATCCGCAGACACGAAGATTATCTAACTCAATGTGAAATGGGTAACGAGGCTGGGATGTTTAGTGCTGGATGTGATGACAGGGTGAGCCTCAGTGACTCAGCACTGTTGCTCCTGTTTTAAAGCATGGATTATGCAGAAGGATGAACACTTACTCTCTTTTACATCACACACTGCAAAATAACCCATTCAACACAAAGCACAGCCAGCACTACACAAACAAATTCATCCTTAATCACTGCAGCAGGGATGGAAAGGAGACCGAGAGGCCAGGATGTGAGAGAGAGCTGCCAAGGGCAGCAGACAAGGAGATGAGGTAGGTGAGAAGATGGTAAAGATTGTGAGGGCAGGTAAGAGGAGGAGATGAGACAGAGAGTGAGAGCAAAGGAGCAGGAGGAAGGAGGCAAGGGTGACAGAGGGCAAAATGAGAATCGGACACCTGTGCAGATTGCTGGAGTTCAGGCAAGATATGCAACTTGAAATATGCATTAGAAAGCTGATTACTTGAAACGTTGGACATGGTCACTCATCTGAGAGGCAGGGCAAGCAATGCTCATTTCTTGGGCTTGGATCACTAAAACTTGGCTCCTCTTTTTATTGGAGGTTCAGCACTTCAAACTGACTTTCAAACAAAGGGAGCATTGGCTGAAAGCAGTCCTAGCAAGTTAGCTGACTTCACCAATAATCAAAGGGTTAAAATAGCTTGCACATAATAACTTGCATTGATGTGGTAAAATGTCCAAGAACGTCACAAAAGTATTTATCAAACTAAGACTGATCTTGAGCCAAAAAGGAAATATTACGGCATTAGTCAAAAAAATGAAATCCTGAGGAACATCTCAAAAGGACAGAGTTGTAGTTCAGTGAGGAAATTCCACAGTTTTGGGCCTGACAGGTGAATGGTGGAGGGATTAGAATTGGACATGTTGAAGAAGCAAGAATCGGAGAGCGCAGATGTCTTGCAGGGGTGTGGGACCATAAAAGGATTTCGAAACGAGGGTGAAATTTTTAATAAGAGGCACTGCTTATCCAGGAGACAATCATAAGAGCACAGCGCCGATGGGTAAACAGGACTTGCTGTGAGTTATGACACAGGCAACACTACTTTGGATTACATCAGATTTAGAGAGAGGGGTGTAGAAGACAAGTCAAGAGTGCACGTTAGTCAAATTTAGAGGTAACAAGGGTAGGATAAGCTTCTGCGGCAGATGGTCTCAAGTTAACATATAATTATACAACACATCTCCTGAACATGATTCAGCCCCAGCACACAACTCCCTTTGTTATTTTTAGAAACACTGCAAACACAACTGAAAGCAAATATAAAATGAGACAATTAGTTCCTGCCCAAGCAATTTACACTGGCTTAGGAAGTATATAACATACGTACATTGCTATACATGAATTACTTACCTGATTTATAGTTTAAACACCTCATAAGTACCATTTTAGAAACTGTGCATATGATTACTTCATCACTGAGTGCCACCTATTCAATGTGCACATGGACAAAATCCTTGTTTGTGTGGAGTTGACACAACTCTACCCTGTCAAAGGTGGGTAAGCAATTGATTGCAAGTGTCATTGGCAAATGAGAATTACAAAGATCTGCCTCAGATGGTACTTCTGTTCACGTCATCCCAGGTACACGTGGTTACCCCCGCCCCGGTCGAAATTCTGGCAGAGGCCAGTTTGTAACTCGTATGTAAAAACCAAAAGAACTGCGGATGCTGTGAATCAGGAACAAAAGCAAAGTTGCTGGAAAAGCTCAGCAGATCTGGCAGCATCTGTGAAGGAAAAAACAGAGTTAATATTTCGGGTCCAGTGACCCTTCCTCAGAACTCCTCAGACCTGAAACATTAACTCTGTTTTTTCCTTCACAAGCGCTGCCAGATCTGCTGAGCTTTTCCAGCAACTTTGCTTTTGTAACTTATTTGTATCCGGTTTGCCCTAAAACAAAACAGAGAAATATCTGAGAGGAGACAGAAGGATGGTTAAAGAGTAGGATAATAAACAAAAGGGTAACCAAAAATGGAATGAGAAATAATATGCATGAGCACAGAACTGTTGTGCTTTCAGTATTCCTATGCAAACGTGAAAAATGATAATTACAAATATAATGAAATACCGGTTATTATAGAGACATGATGATGTAGCTTTGGTAACTATTTGGCTTTAGCCCAGCTGAAGTTTAGAATTAAATACTGGCAGAAATATTTCCTTTTTTAAAAGAGAACTGGCAAGAAATGGAACTGTTCATTAGTTAAAAATTACAGACATGGAAAAATAATTCCAGTGTTTAGGCTCAATATCTAGGTTGAGATAAGAAATAGAGATTATCTGGAGAGTCTGGAATAACTTGAAGGGATTGAAGGTGAGATTTAGTGAAGACTGTGACAATGCAAGTTTTCAAAGGCCAAGATTTTCCTCAGAATCTGGGTGAACTGGCAGTGGTAAATTAAGAAAACGTAGGCAGGAGGCATTATGTTACAAGAAACAGAGCAACTGCAGTTTTCTTCTGGAAGCTCACCATTACAATGACAGTGAGGTGGGTATAGTTTATTATTGCTTCTAACCCTAAAATGTCCTAGGTGACATTGTGGCAACTGGCACGGTGCCCCAGAGAAGGAACAGCCGAGTGGAACCATTTTTACCAGAATATATGGCAACTGCAAGCCCTCCAGATATTTTAAAAGTTCCAACATTTTCAAATTCTTACACAATTAATATAACCACCTGAAACCTAAGATGTATGCAAGAAAAAGAAAAACACTACTTTTTGAGAAATACTTGATTTCCACACTATTAATTCCATTGTTATGAAGAGGAATATAAGGTGGTTCGACGAACCAGAGTTATTCAAGTTTTCACCCTTGATTTCTCTCAGCAACAGTGCTTTAGATCTTACGAAGACTAGCATTTGGGATTATGCAAGGTGCTGGCCAAAGATTTGTAGCTTGCATCAGCATGGAGCACAGCTTTAATATTGAATGTCAAAATAAACAGACTTGAACCTTCGTACAACTCGGTTCTTCCAGGCACTCTTGGGTGACCTTGGTTAATCTGCTGTGCAATGCTGTATGAAGAAAAATTATTCCTGCACTGTTCAGGGGAGCATCTTAATTTGTAACATTTTAACAGACTCTGCAAAGCAGTCAATTTTTAGAGAGTTGCTGGATTGCCACAAATTGAGATGGTGCCTTTGTACCATTTATAAACTGGAAGGGGTTCCATTCAGTTAATGTGCAGTATGTGATTGATGCAAATCAAAAGTTGGAACTCCAGTGTGGATTGCCAGAAGCTGCCAAGATTGCTCTTTGCCAATCATCAATGCACGAGATGATTAACCACAAAGCAATAACTCCAACTGTGGACCTTGTACAGATTGCTATATTCAGCAGGAGACAATAAGTTTGAAGACTGGAATAACCAGTTTAAAATGGAAATTGACATGAAGTGTAATACCCAAAGTGTGAATATATGGACTATGCTTTTCCATCTGGGCAGACAGCCTGCTGAGGATTCCACAGTTCAAAGGAAGGCTTTTCAGAGCAGATTTTACATGATCCAACTGTAAGTGTCTGACTGAATGTGATATAAATTTTGATGTAGAAAACCATTTTTATGTTATTTGAACAGTTTGCTGTGGAAGAAGTTCACCTGCCTTCCAGCCATTTAAAGTTGGGTACAATAGGGTGGATACTCCAAATCTACTTGCACATGAGAACTATATTTTTGGGACTGTGCTGCATTGTTGGATAAATCGGTCTGCCTTTCTTAGAAAGATGAAGTTGAGACACCTCAGACAGCCAGTGAAACTGCATTAACTCGATGCAGAATTATTGACAGACTGTGAACGCAAGTTCATTCAAACTAGGGGTTTGATACAAGAAGGTTTTAAAGGAGTTAGTTTCTATACCTACACCAGAATAGACTGAATGAAAATTTGATCTAGAATTTTAGAAATTAGGACATTTGACAAAAGCAACAGATGGAGATGTTGCTACTGCTGTTCTGACAAGTTTTAGAGCCTTAATCACAATGCCACAAAGTAAAATAAATATGTGGCAAATCGTGGCAACAGAAGTCAGACTCTGATAAACATTATAGGTCTGTACTCTTAAAGAGACTAGGTAAAGGTCTGCACCTAAAAAGATTAAACTGACTTTTCTCTTTCACAAAATTGACTGAACTGCTGAGCACACTCAGCATCTTCTGCAAGTACCTCAGAAGTATGTAGGTAAGAGTTTGTTTCAGGTGCCATTGGTGGTCCCTGCACAGTTTTGTTTTCAGGAGTGCTCTGCTTTGCTCAGGTTTCCACTCAACTCATGTGTGTAGCCAAAATGTAAATTCTTCCACAAACTTGCACTAAATGGCAGTATTTTCGACTTAGTTTTTAAGTAAAAACATTCCTAGAGATGTTTAGGAGCAGTTGCCGGGGCAGTTACATTAATAGAGCTGAAAATGAGTTCATCTCTAAACTCAATCAACTCAATGTCTAATCCATTGCCTCCAAGTAACTGACTGCTGAAAACTTTACAGAAGCACTTACTAGTTACAGTAGTCAGTTTCTTAAACTTTGTTTAAAAAGGAGCATATTACTGCCTTGGTGTTTCAAAAATGCTTAATTTTCTTAGCCGCCTTAAAGTCCTGCAATTAGTGGAAGCCATGTGACTCATTCAATTGGGTCATTCAGTTTTGTGGGTGGGACAGGTTTTAGGCACTTTAAGAATAGCACAGGAGATTGCAAAAACATTATTTTTAATGGATGCAATTTGCATGTGCAAATTCCTCAATACTTTTATATTGTTTTGCATATTGATATACAATAGGAATTCCTGTCACTATAATGTTAGTACATATTACTGTAATACCAATAAGCAAACAGAACAACAGGCTCATGGAACACTGAGTAGACAGGAGCGAGTGGTCAGGAGAGGTGGAAGTGACCATGTATAGAACTAATGCAAGTTGAAGGAGTTACTTAAACTGAAAGTTTAATGCAGAAAGTTTGTGCTAGCTTATTAGCTGAAGATATGATGAGGATTATTTCTCAACAAGAAACAACTTTTAAAAGGGGTGAACTATTTTCCAATGATCCTATAAATTGCACATGCAAGCATCTGCAATAGAATGTGGTGCAGCTATTCCAAGCACTGGATCATATATCACAGCAGATGTTCCAATCTTTTTGGCCTACTTTGTATGGGTCGTTTAACATGCAATCTAATTGCAGCTCATTATGGCTCTGCTCCATGACAATTTGAAAAATAAGTGAACAACCAACTGCCCATGTGCCTTGCATCTGGTATGTGAAATCTCCCAGAACGGCAAAGGCTACACTAGTGTGTAAGCTCAGTGCAGATCATAAATGTTCACTAAAAGCACAGAACAATTTGATATTCGCTGTTAAGCAAATTTTCGGACTGCACTGAATCTACTGACGACAACAGTGGATAAACCATCAGTGTGTTCAACTGGTATATAACACCAGTACTGTTGCTGTTTATGGATCCTTACTGTGAACCCTCATTGGAGGAAGCTGCCAAATTGGCAATGTGTAGGACAGGAAGACTCCATGCAGAATTCCAGAGGTAATGGTTCAGGAGCAAGAAAAGCAACAACTGTTGCAGATAGTCAAACTGCGACTGGATACGTAGGAGTGAAATCAGCGAGGATGGCCCCACAGAGTTCAATAACAGACAAGATACGTTGGAAGAACTTGGTTAGTTGGCATTCTCAAAAGGCTGGGAACGTGACAAGCAGGATGAGGAGGTATATTTTACTATAATACAAGTCACAGAGAATTTTATTTGTTGAATCAGACTAATTTGGTGCAGTAGCAGGGTTAGAAATCTGACTACTATGCAGGAATAAAGCACAGATTTGGCAGGAAACAATTTGTTCAACAGCATAAGTGAGAAAAGGGAGGCTGGAGATTGGGTGATTGTCTTAATGGCAGAGGAGGTAAAGATGTTTTTAGTTAAGGAACAGGCTGAATATTCAAGAGGGACCC